GCAAGAGGATCGTCTGAACTCTGGAATTATAGGCCAGCCTGATCAACTGAGATTCTGCCCCCCCACACACTTAAATTCTATTAAGATTCTATTTATACCTATGATATATGTAACTCTGTTTAATTTTAATCTTTATTTCACAATGCTAGACATCAGAAAATAAAAACTCATACAAGGCTGAATAGAAGATAATGGTTTCACGGATTTCAAATCTCCAATTTTTAATATCAGACATAATAGTATCTGGCTCTTGTAACTTCACTATATTTCTATCCTGGTCATATGAAAAATTAAGATACAGTGTTCATATTACTGAGAACTTTGATCTGTCTACATTCTACAAAAGTAGAAGTTATCTGCAATATATAGTTTCACCCATTTAAAAGTCCTAGCATGTGTGAGGCCATGGATCTGATCACAAATACATAAAATTTTAACAGTCTAGAAGCAGGCAGTTACGTGAATCTGTAATCCCAGGTCTCAGACTGAGGCAGGGAGATCACATGTTTGAAGCTAGTGTTAGTAAAATCTTTTTTTTTTTTTTGTATGAGGAATTGAACTCATGATCTTGTACTTGCCAAGCAGGAACTGCATCCCTGGCTGCAAAACCCTATCTCAATCAAGAGTTTATAGAAAGGCAAACTTGGGAACCACAAAACACCCAATGTTATCTATCAAACTAATAAAATCTTAACATATCCACATATAAATACATATGTATATTATGTATTTGGTACAGGGTCTGCAGGGTTTAACTACATAGAATGGACTAGTAGTGAACCTCCTGTTTTCAGTCCCCAAGTGTTGGGATTACAAGCACACTCCGCCACATCCAGTCTCAACTGCCGAGTGCACCCCAGGGGTGGGGTTGGCAAAGCACACTGGGGATCAAACTCTGGCCACTGTGCTCTGCCTAAGCAGATGCTTTAGTCCGCTGAGCTACCTGGCCGGCCCTCTTGTATAAAAATAAAACATACTTTTCTGATGATCTACATGCTTTATCTTCTTTGATGAATTAACCTTTATCGCTCAGTATGAATTCTGAATACTAGAATGTACCTGATTGTGCTTTTTTTTGCGGTATCAGGGACTGAATTCAGGACCCTGCCTGCACGTGCCAGGCAGGCGCTTATTCTACTGAGTTATCTCCCTGGCCCCTAGAATATTAGAATGTACAACAGTTATAACAGTTAACTTTTATTTTCCAGGGGGCTTGCAGGTTAGCCTGAACTACATTCCAGGCCTCGTTTTTGTTTTTTAAATGTTATTTTAATTTCATGAACCTTATTTGTTTTTGATTTTTTTTCTTTTTCGCGGAACCGGGGATTGAACTCAGGCCCTTGTGCTTGCCAGGCAAGCGCTTATTCTGAGCCATCTCCCTGGCCACCTTTATTTGTTTTTGAGAGTGTCTCACTAAACAGCTAACCTGCAGAGCGTTGAGTAACTTTCTGTTCTTCTGCTTCAATCTCCCAGAGTCTAAGAACACAGGCATTCTGGAGGCTGAGGCAGGACAGGAGGACTAGCCCCAGCTACACAGTAAGTTCAAGGCCAACCTGGACTACATTAGGAAACCCTGTCTCAATAAACAAACAAAATCCTGATCTGTCCTGCCTGATGTAGTGGTGGTTGACACACTAACCAAGTAATTCAGCAGAGGTCCAGGGTCCTCCATTTGTAAACATCCTGAGCCTGTGAAGAGGGGGACAAGGAGAAGGTGTGGGCAGGCAGGTAGCCTACATACAATATAAGGGAGGAAAAAAGGCTTGCTTTCCCCCCTTTTTTGCTCTTGCTGGTTTTGCCATCTTCTTCCCTTTTTTAACTGCTGCCACTCTGCCATGCCACCCTGCCTTGGAGCCAGGTGATTACAGACTTCCATAAACTGTGAGCTAAACAAACCTTTTCTCCCTTAATTTTGAGTGCTGCACATTTTGTGTCAGCAACAGTAGAAAAGTAACCAAGACACCTGTTACAACTAAAGTATTTTCCCAAAAAGGCTGGAAAATGAAAGGTTGCCAGTGATAAATCTCCTTTTAGAGAGCAAATATATAACTTCACACATCAGGTTATCCTTTGTAATAAAAAGATACACACTTGTTTCTCCAAGTGTCTCCAAAGGGTTCCAAAACATTAATTTTAGTTGTAAGGGCTCCAAAGATCTAAAGCAATAAAACTGACATATTGTCACTCATTTGCCTAACCATTCTAACTGTTAAAGAGTACAGTGAATAAAAAGGAAAATCGTAAATCAGCGCCATTATAAATATTCTTAAAAAGTGTGTTTCTAGTGGAAGTGGGCTTTATCTGTTACCATATGCCATTATTCAACCACCTGGAACATGTCCTATCACTCTGTGAAAAGTATCTTATGTGGCCACCATGGACTCAACTGTCAGTTTCCCAACTATTATTAAGAGACTAATCAAAACTTTTTTTTTTAAATCCTACTTTCTCAAAACTCCAAGTCAAGCAAAACAAAACAAAACAAAAAAGAAAGAAAAAGAAAATGAAAATCAGAGAAGGAATGGTACAGAAAAGAAAAAAAAGGTTTTAAAAAATCAAAATGATTCAGATGGACTGTAAAGAATCTTTTTGAGGGGCCAGGGAGATGGCTCAGTAGAATAAGCACTTGCCTGGCAAGTGCAAGAGCCTGAGTTCAATCCCTGGTTCCACATAAAAAAGAAAAGAAAATCTCCTTGCATTTGAAAATTTTCGAAAAAAATAAACCTTCACTTGAACAAGAAAATCAATCTCCATTATGTCACTTAACTGGAGTCTGACATCTTATTGAAGAGAAGGGACAGAATAATCTCAAATTTAATGTATAAAACCTATGATTTAGCAAACATTGAAGATATTTTTATTGGCTATGTAAATTGATCACTGTTATCTTGCAAATAAATCAGATTATGGCTACAAAGAAGTCCATACTTCTTTGTTCCCTCTACAAGAGAAGAAAATCAAATATTCCCAACATCCTAAACCATTACTCCAGATAACCAAAGGCATCTCAGGCTTTGAGTTCTAAGACTCTTATTACAGAGCACATAGCTCTAAAGCAAAAACCCTATCCCCACCCCGCCCCACCCCACCCCACCCCACCCACTCAAGCAGCCAACAAAATACTTGAGAGACATAACATGGGTAACATTTATTAATAACCCACCCACATATTCCTTACTATAAGCCATTCTGCTTCATACCTTTCAGTCCTGAGGTCAAATGCCCCAGCACACGGCTGCAGCTGAGCTGATACTCCATTTATTTACAACTACAAGTCCCCCACCCAAACTGTAGGACTACCTGGTAAAGGCATTTTAGTCCTCTAAAGGATTACAGTACTAAACTCACTTAAGTATGCAAGTCAAAACGCTAAAAGTAATGGAAAAGTCCATTGTTAAAGCACTCTCAAATGTCAAATTCCATTTCATTTCTCATTTTATGCCTACTACATTTGATCCTTAAAACCAAATTTCACAATTTCAAAAAAATGTAAGCAACTTAAGCATATGGATTACAGACAATAACGCTTATTTTATTTGAAGCATTTACAAATACTTGTATAGGACAAGTCAAAACTAACTTTTTCAGCTAGGTGAGGTGCTAGACACCTGTAATCTCAACACTTACAGCCTAAAGCAGGAGGATCACAAATTCCAGACTAGCCTGGGAACTTTGAGATCCTGTCTCAAAATTAAAAATTAAAAAAGGGCTGCTAGGCAGGTGTAGCCCTCAATATAATCCTCAGCACCAAAAACAAGCAAACAAAATAAAAACCTTTCACAGTTCTTAACTTTAACATCTCAAATCTGGAGTCGGGCGTTAATCTTTAAAACGGTCTAGTTACATACATCAGTTCTCAAAATGAGAAAGATGTTAACTGTTAAATTAATAATTACTATTAAAGAGTAGACTTTCCATCATCTTAAAGTATTACATTCTAATATTTTAATAAATTCTTCACTTTTAAACAATGCTGATATGAGAAGTAATACGAAGCAAAGCGACATCTCAACAATCATGCTTACATTTGGCCAGTTTCTAGATAATGTATGTTCCAAAGTATGAAAACTTTTAATCAAATATACATGCGCATACATTTAGGGACTTCTACACGGTGGATTAAATTCCACATATCTGAATATTACTAAGCACTTACTCAGTAAGACTAAATCCAAAGCCAAACACTACTGTTTGTTAGACGATTAATCGAAAAGACAAAACTGCCTTCAGTATTTTTTAAAGTGACTCCAAATATATTCCAATCTTTTCTCCAAACATTCCAAATATATTCAAACCCATAGAGGTCCCAAAAGACCTGAGGCCAAATTCTCTGCATTACAGGTACATTCACCAAAGTGCCCAATAATTTCACTCTCAAGGGCCCCGGTATGAATCGCTGTCCCTCGGAGTGAGACTATCACTGAACTTGTGGGGAAAACTCAGGACCAGTGTGAGTCGAGCCCATTTAACAGTAACACAATTTCATCTCCTATCCCACTAATGCCATGCCTGAAGTCAGACTCCCAGCACTTTTTAAAAAATATTAACACGTGGGAGTCCCAGGAAGGGAACCCAGATAAGGAGGTCCCTCACATGGGAACTGGAAGGGTGACAGGGTCGAAGGAAGTTAATGGGTAACGAAGTAAATGGAGCATCCAGGTCGCTCAGGACACCCCAACTCGACTCTAAACTTCACTAGGGAGGGCAGCGGCCCTGGAATGTCCTCGGCGCCAGACCATCTTCTCCTCCACATTGCCCGAGCCAACCCCTAAAGCAGAGCCCCCGCGGGGAAATGAAACGCGGGGAAAGGAGGCATCAGGCCTCGCCTCCCTGCGGCCTTCCTTCCCCAGCCGGGGCGGGAGGAGACCCAGGGAGCCGCGCCCGGCTCCCGGCAGCTGGAGGGCCTAGGCCGCGCCTCCCAGCACCGCGGCCCTAGGCCTCAACCGGCCCGAGGCGGGGCCGGGAAGGTCGGGGCTGCGAGCTGGGCGCCGGTCACCCACCTGGGTTGCCAGTCATTCCAGCTCCGCGGGTACTTGGTGCCGCCGCCGCCGCCGCTGCTCAGCCGAGACCCCGGGGCTCTGCGGCTCATTACCTTCCCCGACACGACATGGCCAAGCGCCGCCGCCCGAAGAAGCGCGAGTCGCCGCCCAAACCGGCCGCCGCCGACACTCCGCTCCGGTCTGAGGCTGAGGAGGAAGCCGAGGAGGAGGCGGCAGAGGGCGGGGGAGGCGGACGGCCGTTCCGGGTTCCGCCAGAGCCCGCAGCTCAAGACGAGGAAGCCGGAGCGACTGGACGAGGAGGAAGGCGAGGAGACGTATCTTCCAGGGACGTGCGCGGCCCGCGACGCTGGGGCCCAGGAGGACGCGGACGACGAGGAGTCGGTGGCGGTACCTCCTCACGCTCTCTCGGCCACAGCTTCCCCGCCTCCCGGCTCCGCCCGCCGCGCCGCCGCTGACGCACGGCATGCTGGGAGCGAGGGGCGGTGCCGCTGGGCCTGGGGGAAAGGGGCGTGGCCCGGCACGGGGCGCGTCCGGATCTAGTGGGCGGGGCGCCATAGGGCGTGGCGGCCCTCCCAGCCTGGAGTACGCCTCCGCGCGCGGCGGGCTGGGCACCGCCGCGGGGGATCCTGGGAGAGGGGATTCCAAAACGCCTCTAAGTACACACCCTCTCTAGCGCTCCTTGGGAAGCACCTGACCCTGGAGGGCGGAGCAGTCAGGTGTCCACAGTGTCCAATCAAGCGCTTGCAGTGAGGGCTGCGGGCGCCCTTGCACCAGCACCCACCTGCGTGCCCTTCAGGTTTATGTGTGCCTCCCCGCCCAGGGTCCTGAGGAAAAAGTGAAAATACATAGTAAAATCCTGAGGGTGTATATACATAACCCCCTTCCCAGCTCGTCTTTATGATGTGCTCGGAGTCCTGAACCCTTGTACAGTCTTGCAACTTAAAACGTATTTTAAGGCCTGGGGTGTAGTTCAGTGATGACTGCATTTGCCTCTTGTGTGCAAGACACTAGGTTTCATGCTCAGCACCACAAAACAAAAATTGTGCTTTAAAATCTTCTCATCTTAACAGTTGCCCACCTCCCTTAGCCTAAAAAGTCTAAAAGTGGGGCAAATGAGTACTGGTTACACATAGACTTACACACACACACACACACACACACACTGAGACATACACAACTTCTGCAAAATAATTTACTAAGTACCTGATACATTATGTGCATGAGGACCCATGTTTTAAACGATGGGTAAGGTACACATTAAGCAAGTGCAATAATCTTATCTGCACAAAGAGTCTTAACCTATCAGTTTGTTACATCTCTTATATAATTAAAAATGGTTACCAAAAGTACTTCATTAGGAGAAAGTATCTCTATAGGCATTCTCCTCGGCCAACCCTAGGCTCCTTGCTTATGCCCAGCGGCCCCTCATTAAGGAAAGATCATTTCAGTCCTAATGCACAAAAAGTTAAAATTTCAAATGAACTTTTCTCCCTCCCTCTGATATGGTACTGATGTTGGACACACAGAGTTCCACTGGGAATCAGTGACCATGCCTGGTCACTCATCTCTGTGATATGTAAATTTCATGGGCTGGAGAAGTAATTAATAGTAAAGCATTTCTCTCCCATGTTTGCAAGGCCCTTGGTTAGACCTCCAGCACTGTAGAAAGAAAAAAGTGATAATAATAATTTCAATAAAACTACATGAATTTTTTTTTTTTTTTTTGTATTTTAGGGAAGGGTCTACAGGGTGTTCAGGGTCTCACTACTAGATCGGACTTGTAGTGATCTGCTTGTTTACAGCCTCTCAAGAGCTGGGATTATAGGCAAGTGCCGCCACCCCCAGTCTCAATCTCCATCGAATCCCCGGCCCTTGTGCCTTCTTGCAGATACTTTAATCTGCTGAGCTATTTGGCCGGCCCTTACATGAATTATTTGAATAAAAAGAGACATAACTCCATACACACACTCCATCTTACATGTCCTTGATACCCTCAAATTGCCAACCTTTCTCTTGATGAGAAAGGGTCCTACAAGCAATTTTTTTAAAAGACCTTTGAGATTGTCCTAGACAGGTACAGCATTAACTGTCTATTTTGGAGGATATTACCAGGTGTTCTTGTTTTGCTTGTAATTGATGTTTAATGAGAAACAATAATGAATAGACCTTTTTTAATGTATTTAGTACAGGGTCTACAGGGTCTCACTACACAGATCAGACTTGTAGTGATCCTTCCTGCTTTTCAGCCTCCCAAGCACTAGGGATTACAGGCACGCACCACCACGCTCAGTCTCAATCTCAGTCTCAATGTGCCCTTGGGGCAGGGCTGGCACAGCAGGCCAGGAATCGAACCCCAGCCTCTGTGTCTGCCTAAGCAGGCACTTTAATCTGCTGAGCTATCTGGCCAGCCTTGAACAGACTATTTTTAATGTGCAGTGTAATCACAATTTATTTTTTTCATTCAACATTCAATAAAATGTATGGAGCACTTACCAACTAAGCCTTTGAGGAAACTCATCAAGACCCAATCACCACTCTCAAGGAACTCTGAAGGTACTTCTGAGGTGAATGTATTAGAAGAGATGACTACTATATATATGCTAGTTCACTATCCCTATCCCATCCTGCAAACTTGTCTCTTAGATCAGAGATACCCCTTCCCCCAAAGCCTTACCTCAGTTGTAAATTTTGAACTTCCTTCCATCCATTTTCTTCCAACTCTTTACTTTTAAGGTGCCAGGTCAGTTGATACTCTCTACTCTTTCAGACTCTCATGTCTATAAGCAAATAGATAATTTGCCAGTTAGTCATTTTGACTTCCTTAATAGTTAATCAAAAACAATGCTGCACAGACCAAAAAGCTACAACTCTTGTTGCACAGGTCCTGCTTTACCTTGGTCTTAACCATCCAGTAGAAAAGTATGAAGACGAAATATAGG